ATAATTAAATATATTTAATTTTCATAATTTCATATAAAAAGGTATATTGTATTTACAAAAATATTCATAATCACATTTATTATAGATATTGTCTTCCTCTATTGTTATAAGAATATTTTTAGATAAAAAATATTAAATATGATTAATTTAGTTGAAATTTATTTACATTTTAATCAAAAAATTTAAATATCTTTTTTTATATTTAAGTCCAGAGAGTATTATATCACACTTTCTTTGCCTTTATCGTTAATTATTAAACAAATAGACAGTAAGAAAACATAATATTCAGAATATTATTTTAATTGGAAAAATCTGATTAAGTTAATAATATAAAACAAACAAAGAAAGAATCTGATTCTTTGGTATAAAAAAAATCAGGAGGATCAAGAATGAATAATTATTAATTAGAATTATGCAGGCGAAATTGTTACATAAATAAAAATACAGGAATTGGAAAGGTGTAACTAATTTCCATATTTATGATTGTTATTATAAATGAAAATGAAAATAAAAAACAGTTAATGAACAGCTGTAATAGAGAGAGAGAGAGAGATGAATGGAAGCAGAATTGTGATCCAAATACGTGATTGTAATATTTGGAAGGGTTAAGGATAGTTGACTTATTAAGGTAAGACCACGACCTCTAAAATATCCTATCCTAGTCCATTTATGCGTCTCTTCCCTCACAATTCACGAACCCAGTGAGGAATCTTCAATTGGGTTCGAATCTCCGAATTGCTTTCGGAGATCTCGCTCATCAGGCATGTCATGTCATGTCATTTTTCACTTGGGTTCTTCAAAAAAAAATATTTTTTTTTTTGTTTTTGTTTTTGTTGTTGTTGTTGTTGGTTTCTGAATTCGAATTCACTTCTTGCAGGGGGGATATGGCTGCCACGGTGAAACAAATGGCGTTGATCGTGTCTCTGTTGGGCCTCGTGTCTTTCATTTTGGGGGTTGTTGCTGAAAACAAGAAGGTAATGACCCAAACGTGTTCAATTATGAATCATGATTTGTGGGAATTTTGCGAAGGGCTGTGAAATGAAAGTGGGTTTTGCAAAGATTTAATTTTGGAATTGGGATTGTGATTGTTCAGAGATGAGAGTTCTTGAACCTCAGTATGGTGGAAGTTGGGTTGTTGAGACTTATAAAACCTTCTTATCGAAGATGTATGCAAATTTGAGACCTTCACCAATTTGATGCATGCTATTAAATTGTGACTACATTGATTTAAAACTATTGATGTTTAAGGTCAACGTGCATAAATTTGTGTAAATTATTTTGTCTAAAATATGTTTGTTCATTGTAAGATGTAAATGTGGTTTGTTTTTGAAACAAAACTTAGATGGAATTCTTTGGGTGTTTTTTTTTTTAATTAGAATTGGAGTTTTATATGATAATTGTATAATATATGTTTATATTAATTGTCAACATAGGTTCTCACGAAGAAGTCAAATTCTAATCGGAGAACAATACTAAATGCATCTAAAGAATTTCATTTTAAGATTTTATTAAAAACAAATCTTAGAAAATAATTTGGTGGGATGAAAGAAGAAACCAAAAAGCAATCCATTTTTTTTAGGAGTTGTGCCTTATATTTTTATCTGAATTTGATAATAAAAGAGTAAATATCTGCCTGCAAGAATTTTGATTTTTTGATTTTTATTTTTTATATTTTGCTAATCAATAAAAACAAAAAAGAAAAATAAAGATTCATTAGAACCTTATAAAGTTTAATCCTTTTTTTTGTTAAAGTTCTTTTTGAATTGTCTGCAGGTGTAATACAGCTTGAGGAGTTCAAATTTAGTTATTTTAAATAAGGGAATATGTGGAAAATAATTAACAAGACTTAAAATTTGTAAAACAAATTGTATCCTAGAAAGGAACTCAAACATCAATAATTTTGGAGAAGAGGAAGTATATCTGGGAACAACAATGCGTATATTCATATGCATTGAGAACAATTAGATCTTTTTGGCTTATCAGGTGCATTTCATATATGAGATGATCTAATGGATTCATTATATTACATGATTCACATCTATTAATTTCTTGTGTCCACTCTTGAATAATGATTGTTCTTTATAAGTTGAATATGATTTGTTTTTGAAGCTTGTAGTCGATTCTCTTACATGTTTTTTTTTCCTGCATTGATCAGTGATATTTACTCTGCTATTATGTGCGTGCATGCACATTTGGACATAAAAATGTTTTTGTTGTTACAGCCTGCGGCTGGAACACCTGTGCCTGGTGTGGATGGTATCTCTGTCACCTGCAAGTATCCAGCTGATCCAACTGTTGCACTGGGGTATCTTTCTACAGCATTTCTTGTTGCATCCACTGTGGTTGGGTATCTGGCTTTGTTTTACCCTTACAAAGGAAAATCTATTCCACAAGGAGTTCTGTTTAAACACACCACTTTCACAGTTTTCTTCAACATTGCTTTGTAAGTATTGTTTCCGTATACTTGTTTACCAATTTTCATGATTAAATTTCCAGGCATTATTATATTATAATGTGATACTTTTTTTTATTGATTTTCTCCCTTGTTCCTGGAAATGGAAGATTCGTAGATAGATACTGATTGTGCTAGGATTTGATTCTTGGGGTGTTGTTTGAGATTACACTTCTGGATCTTATTCTCCACTATGAATGGGTGTTGCTATTTAAATTTATATGAGCAATTGTCAGTCATATTTTATCACGCTTCTTCTGTGTGCCATAGATATTTCAGTCTATTTCGATTAATTGATTCATTCCATGTAACATAATTATTTTGCTCTTTAGAAATAGGCTTGCATTTGGTCAATTGAAATGCAAACACTTGTGTGTTGGTCCAAGAAGAATACACCTATTTTGTGGACATGCTGAATGTTCAATGGTCATAGATGAAATACTAGTAAGTAGTAGTAGATCACCATCTGTAGACAATAATGACATTATTAGTTGCACTTGATGTTGGGAACTACCATGCACTCCACACACAAAAAAAAAAGTATAGGGAATATTGGTAGGTTGGGGAAAAAAATACTGAACTAAACTGAATTGGTAGGGAACTGAACTCAACTATAAAAAACTAACTGAACTGTTTCTATAAAAAAAAAACTGATTTGTGATTTTGAATTTTGATTAATATTAGACTAAAACTTAGATACAGTTTCTTGGATACAATTGGTGTTGTTTTCTAATCAAAATTAGAATTTTACCTCAATATTATGCAAGTGTATTTCATGCAAGTCTCATTAATATACATTTACGTATACTGTCTAGGTAAAACTCCAACTTTGATAAGAGAACAATACTGGTTGCACTTAAGGAACTGTATCTAAGTTTTGTCCTTAATATTACTACTAGATGACAATGCGTTTCTTATCTCAATATTGTTCTTGTGTGCAATTTTGTGTTCACTTAGGTTCACCACTGGATTAGCTGCAACATTGTTGTTATGGCCAACGATCACCGAACAGCTTCACCTGACGCGCAATGTGCACCGTGATATGAGCTATGAATGCCCTACAGCTAAAACTGGTCTCCTTGGAGGTGGTGCCTTTTTGTCCCTTGATTCATCTCTACTTTGGTTGATTACCCTTATGTTAGCTGGCAATGCGCGAGAGGATTTCTTTGAAGAAGAAGAAGAAGATGGTGATAAGGGCGAATTTGGTGCAGTGTCCTCCAATGCTTATTATGATGATGATGGAGTAAAGGGTAGTGCCTGAACTGAAGCATGCTCCTAAAAAAGGTAGAAAAATAAATGTTGCACTGGTACTCCTGTAGTTTTCTTTTAATCATGCTGAACAATTTCGTGAATCATGATTGTATATATTTTAAATGGTTGTTCTCGGTGAACATTTATTAAGCTCAAGCACAGTACTGCAGAAACACATAGTTGTTTATAAATGTTTCATTTTTTTTTTCCCGTGAATTCGACAGAAATTTATCTCAGGGTGGCTAACTTGTAACTGTGTGGATCTTTTTGCCTCTTTTTTAAACGTTTATAGTTTCAAGGTGACTGGGAAGTGGGAATATCCGCGACAATCACTAGAATACAGAACATTGTGATGAAATTCTGTTATAAAATTTTTTACTTGTCTATATAATAATTCTTGGGGCCAGCTATCCCACCCTTTGAAGTGCCTCCAACGTAGCGAGAAGATTAGTCACTGCTGTTGGCGGTGGATACTCCAGGAACGAACCTAAAAACACTTGTCTATATAATAATTAATGTTTATGGCTAGCTTACTATGGTTATTATGTTGAGATTAACTTTAATCTCGAAGACAACATGCGAATTTTGTTCTTATACAGACATGTCTACTTGGTTTAGTTGTGAGGAGGTGGAAACAAAAATAGTGATTAATAATTTATATTATAAAACAAAATTGTTTTATTTATTTATAATTTACCTTAAAATATTAATATTTAACTTATAAATAATTATGACAGATAAAAATTGAGTTAGATAAAAATTAAAAGAACTTCTAAAAAAAAATTTCTCAAAGAAAATTTTCTGAAAATACTCCCGGAAAAGAGATTCTAGTATTTAATATATAGAAGTTAATTATTTCAAAGAAAATATTTGTCTCCTAAGTCCTTAAATAATTAAAATATTCATAGAAAATAGAAGAAAAAATGCGGGTATTTTTCTTTAAATATTTATTTAAAAATGAAAAGTAGAAGAAATTTTGACGGTTGATTTGAATAATAATAATATGAGTTAATCACTGCTAGTGTAAAGTTTTTTTTTATACTAACAATCAATTATATCTCTTAATTGTGTCATATCACTGTTAAAAGTAAATGTGTTTATAGTGACAAGACACAATTAAGAGATATAATTGGTTGCTAGTGTAAATTTTTTTTAATAATATATTAAAAGGTGTATCACTAGTTACCCTATCCCGCATTGTCATTTATCGGGGGACTTTTTTTTGGTCTACTCGTGGAATATAATTTTTTTTATAAAAAATATAGTATGAAATGAAATTAATTTTAAAGTAAAATATTTAATTAACATAAAATAAATTTTATTACAATAAATAATAGTTTGATATAAAATTATATCAATTTTAAATTTAAACAATAATATTTTGTATTTGAATCAATCTGGCTTAATTGAGCATATGGTCATTGGTCTTGAGTGATGGTTTCCTTTGTCTTTAAAGTTATTGAGAAAAGTTAACAGAATATAAAATAAAGCAAAATAAAATTAAATATGCTTAAAAAGGTGATATAATGTTAATTTTAAATTTGAATAGTAATATTTTAAATTTAAGTTAATCGAATTTAATTGAGTAAATTATCATTTTAAGTTTATTTTAAAACTTTCCAAAATAATTAAAAATATTTAAAATAAACTCTACAAATTAAAAGTCATAAAATACAAAAATATACATCAATAATTAAAATAATAATAACAATTATTAATTAAAAATATTATTTGTCTATTCCTAAAATCATTTGAATGAATTTAAAAATTTGTAGTGATAATTTAAAGGATTATATTTTTGTTGAATGAATCTATAACAATATATAAAGAAACATTATGTCTAATTTTTTAAAATAATTATATCTCTATATTTGTATTCTAATTCTTTTAACAAAATATTTAAGGATAAAATAGAAAAAAATGCATATAAAAAAATAATAGCTACTAATTTATTTTTTAAAAACAATTAACTTTTTTGGTGAAACATAAAGCTCTTTTTGCATTGCTAGTCGATAATCTATAATCTATACTTGTTATAAGGGACATATATTTTGGTAAATATTCTTTTGATGTTCACTTTTTAGTGGACCATTATATCTCTTGAATATAAAAAAAAATCATCTTATATATTTTTGATTTGTGTGTAATTATTAAATATACATTGCCTATACTAATATATAAAGAGGATACCCTTTTTCGTAACTACCTTGGTCTCCACTTTTCTTGACCATTATACTCTTTTATTTTAAAAAATTATAATTTTTTTTATCAAATTTAAGAATTTGAAACTAATGAATCTATACTTCTATGCTAATATATAAATGAAATATCACTTTCAATAACTACTTTTTTTATGAGTAACTTCTCATTTTTTTTATTATTTTTTTTCTTTTAATACAATGCAGTCACAGAGTGCCTTTTTCCCTCTAGTAATATATAAAGAGAATATCCCTTTTAATGTCTAATTTTCAAAGATAATTATATTCCTATATTTATATTATATTTTTTTTCAACAATATATCTAATGATAAAATAGAAAAATAACGTATATAAAAAATAATAACTCTACCAATTTATTGATATTTAATTTTTTTCATGGAGACAGATTCTTTTTCATTGCAAGTGTTAAAAGAGTATATATATATATATATATATATATATATATATATATATATATATATAACTACTAATAGTTATAATAAAGTAAAATTATTCATATAGGGAGATGACCGTAATTAATGTAATAATATAATAAGGACAAAACTAAGCTACACTAGCAGCTTAATTATCTATTAATTTTTTTTAATAATTAAGAGTATAATTGTTCACGAAGACAAAAAAAAAAAATTATACGAAGAAGTATTGATTTTAAAAAAATAATTATATGAAGAAGTATTCATTTTATATGTTAGATGTATAGATTGAAACTGTTGACATTGAATTAAGTTGAAAATCTAAAAGTCGTAAATGAAGGGCAATGATGGAAATTCACCATTAAATCTCTTAAAAAACCCTATCTTAGAATGTTGTTCCCTCCCTCACGGTTCTCGATCTTGTGACATGGCTACCACACCGCAATGGGAATTCTCCTGGTTCCTCTCTCTCTCTCTCTCTTGATTCTATGCTTTTTCAACCATGTTTTTTTTTAATTGTTGTTGTTGTTGTTACTGTGGCTATTTGGGTATCATTTTGTTACAATTTGAATTTGGTGTGAAAACATTGAAACCCAAAGAATCCCTCTTAAATTTGGGAAATGATGAAATTCCCTCCACTCAGTTTCGTTTCCTTTCTATTAGGCTTCACCTTCAATTATCTCTTGAACTAATTCATGTATGCATTGTTTTCATAGCCACTGAAAATGGAGCAGCCCTCAAAATCATGGTAGTTAGTATGCGAATCGTGCTGTTTTTCCTTAAAAAGACTCAGTGTCTTTGTGCTTTGCTGGGTATGCACAGCCCTAATTCCAACGACACCGTATTGGGCATTTTTTTTAACTTTTAAGAATCTTTTACAAACTGTGTTGAGTCTTTTGGCTTTTAGTTTTAAACTATTATTATCAAAATGAAGTGAATCATGGTAATTACTACTTATATTACTTATATGTGTTTGGTGGGATTTTAACTTTTTGGGGAATATTTTAAATTTAAAATTAATTAAAATAAAAAATAAGTTGAATTAGTGAGTTAAAGTATAATTCTCTCAATTCTCATGGGAATACAACTTTCTCTTCCTCCCCATGGGAATCAAAATGAAATGAATCATGTTGTACCTACTTTATTGAAAATAAATTATATTCAGGAATATTTTTTCAAAACTCTAAACAAATATAAAAATATGAATGAGTTTTTAATCCATCAGACAACCTCACTTGGCTTATTTCACTCAATAATCTATGTTCAACATCAAATTTTAAATCATCATATGGGTATTGAGATTTCAAATTACCATATGATAATTTGAAATTTGATGTAGAAAATGAGTTATTGAGTGGAGTAAAATCATGGAATAAGTAAATTCCTCCTCAAATAAAAATATTTGATCCATGTGATAATTGTTTATTTTAATATCTTTATCATAAAACATAATAAAAAAAATCTTTTGTAATTTTTCAAATGCAAACATTTGATTAATATATAATGAATATAATATTTATTATAAATTTAAATTTATAATAATTTTAATGACAGAATATTCATTGTAATTTTAATATTATTCTATTGTCAAATTAAAAATATTTGATTGATGTGGTCATTATTTATTTTAATATCATTATCATAAAATCTATTATATAACATGAAAAATAAAATCTATTATAGTTTTTTAAATACAAATATTTAATTAATATTAATATATAATAAATATTGTAGCAGAATATTTATTATAAATTTTAATATATAATAATTTTAATGACAGAATGCTTATTATAAATTTTAATATTAATATTATTCTATTATAACAATAACAATTTTTAATAGAACTCATGTATCTTATGTTATTAGACTTATGGTTTTTTAGTTATTGACAATGAAGATATGTTTTTATTAATTTCATATGCTTGTTTTATTATTCATTATGAATTTTACTATTCACGATACAATTCAATTCGCAATTCAAAAAATGGATCTTTTGATTCACAATTTGAATCTCGATTCAATTATCATGCTCAAAAACACTTGTAACCTGTACCTCTAAATCTTGTAATTTGAAGTGTATTCTTTTTAGATTAGCGGTAGCTTTGTGCTAGTGTATATTTTGGTTATTCATTGAACTCGTGTTCTAATTATTAAATTCTTCACATTTTGTTAGTAACTTTTGTACCGAGCAAATACAGATTCAAACAAGTTATGTGGACCGGTTTGTAAAGGGGAAATTTATAGGTTGATTCAGGATATTAGGAAAGGATAATATATAAAAATTTAGTATGGCTTATACCTTAATAATCCTCCTGTTCCATAAAACTTTAAATTGTCTACGATTAACATAGATGTAATTCTTTGTAGACGAAAAGTTTGTTACAATTTTTAGTTTTATTGTTGGGATACAAATATCTTTTGTGTAGTCTTCCCATATTTGTACTTAGATTATAATTATAATATAAAATATAATAATTGAATGCTGTGAGCAGTTTCAATTTTGCTCAGGTGCTTGGCATTTCTCAGTTTCCTTTTTTTTGGTTGTTGTATTTGACCTCATTGTGTGTCCTAGGTCTTTGGCTACTGATGTAATTATAGAATTAGGACTCTGTAACTGATAGAACACCAGGAACAAAAACTACTGTAAGTGTTATTCAATTCCAGAAAGGTACTGAGCCAAAGCTCTTGCAAAAGAGACAACCAGAGCCCTTGGCTGCTTGCAGAAAACTCTTCTCTGTCAAACTGATTACCCAAGCATGCTTTTGTCAGACACTTCTCCCAATATTCCTGTTAATTTACTAACCAATTTGTCTAGTCAGCATAAGAAATTCCCCTCCATTCTTCCCTTTTGTTACCTTTTGGAATGAAACCCAAATCATAGGCCTCCTTATCCATTGTGCCTAAATCCAACAATTGGTCCAATTCCTGTTTAGGCCTGGAACTCAGTATGTTAAATTAGATACAATCAAAATCTCAAGTTTTTGAATTAATCAGTTAAGTATTGTTAGTAAAATAAATAACATTTTTTATACTCATCATCTGATCTGGTGAATGTGTATCAATTGTGTGCAAATTTCCTGTATTTGAAAGATTCACTGCTATGAGAAAAACTTGATTCGGAAATTCTGAGGTTTCCCTTGTGTTTGAAATTAGTATTAACAAATGTGTAAATGTGTTATTGTAAATGGAATGACAATTGCAGTGACATGGAAATAGATTTTGGATCTGAAGAGAATGCTTCCATTGTATTTTCTGCCTTAGCCGTTGACAAAGAGGTGATTGTCTGAAGACATGAGCTTTCCAATGCTTTACGAATTTTTTTCAAGTATCTATTTATTCATGATTCTGTGCCTTCTGCAGTTGCAACCCGATAAAGTAAAACGACTCATGACAGTGTCTGATGGAAAGCTATCAGCGTGAGTATCCTCTATGGTATTAATAGTTGAATGTTTTTATAAACGATTTTATGCTCGGTTTACTAGTGCATCATTTGTTGTTTAAATGCAAAATATGTTATTATGTTAGGAGTAAAGTAGGATATAAAATACATTGTTTTATAGCTCAACTGAAGCTTATATTGTAATCAGTTTTTAGCCATTAAATATGTGTATGAAATGCTATCTATAGCGCTACCTGAGTATCTGCAAAACGTTTGGGTTAATTGCAATTATTTTTTCATTAAGATGTTATGACAATGATTACAACTTTAAATAGGACAAAACTTAGGTACAGTTAATATTGTTATCTAATCAGAATTAAAGTTTTATCTCAGTAATATACATTTACTTTTAATGTAAATATTTAAAAAAAAAAAATTAGATATGCTAAGACATCACAATGTAGAAAAGAGATCCTAATTAGGTTAGCACCTCAATCTACACTAATTATCTGCAATATATTACTTTTAATGTAAATATTAATAATATACATTTACACATATTAATAAAGTAAAACTAGAATTCTGATTAGGGAATAACATCAATTATGTTTAAGGAATTGTACTTAAAATTTGTCTTTTTAAATATATCATCTCCAATATGAACACATTCTGTTAGTAATTAATTTTAGGGTGTCTTTTATCTAAAAGGATTCATTTGATTCCGTGATTAGATAATTTAGCTTCGTGGGCATGCTGAATGTGTAATCTTATTTCTTCCGTTCTCCTTACGATGCATCTCATTCAGGCACTTTGAGGCAACAGAAGCCAGGTTTCTCCGGGCATCATTTAGTGCTTTTGTAGATGTCATGACACTAGCCACGAAAACTATTGAAGAATTTGGTCAAGGAATGAAGTTGTGACGTACATCTCCTTATCTTTGAATGTTGGATTGTTCTAGTGTACTATAAGTTAACTTCTACGGTCTAAATGTACCCATGTTTGTTTCTTTCAAGCAGGAAAATTTTCAGATTTTGTTTTTAATTTTTATACATATGATGTTTCAAGGGTGTAATATGTATTGCTTAGTCACTCAAATCTACTACTACTATCTACTCTTAATTCCTGGATACTAATCACTGAAACAGATTAACATGACACTTGTTTCCTAAAATTTAGAAATTTGTTTCCATGTTGAGACAGAAATGGTGGATTGCCAGAGGTCTCTCATATTATGCCATTCTAAGCGCAAGCACAAAATAATGCTAAAGATAAGCAATGTTTTTATCAAAATAGTTTTTATTTCTGAATTTATAATATTCGTTTTAAAAAGTTATTTTGTTTTTTAAAAAATAAATTAGAAAATTGAAAAAAATTAAACTAATGTAAATACATTATATAATTATACGTACAAACAATGATTTTAGTCATGCTACAAACTTGGGTAAATACCTAGACTTTCCACTCTTATCAGGGGGAGTCAAGAAAGGTGATTTCTCCTTTATTATGGACAAAGTTAATGGTAGATTGCAAGGTTGGAAAAGCAAACTGACTAACCGGGTCGGTAGAGTTACACTAGCCAAGTCTGTTATTTCAGCTATTCCTACTTAAACTATGCAGAACTCGTGGATTCCCGAGGGTGTTTGTGATGATATTTGCAAGTCTGTTATCTTGTTTGTTTCCTCTTGTTGCAAGTGAGGCTTAGAGGAAGAAAGCACGATCCATCTTCTTTGGGATTGTGCTTATGCAACTTGAATTTGGAGGTCACTTGGTTTTGATGACAATTCTGACATCTATAGTTTGGATAACATTGATTGGTTCTACACATGGCTCCAACAAAAGCATGGAATCCTCTTTGCTTGTGCTTGCTGGTTCATTTGGTGGGTTAGGAATCTATATAATGTAATGAAAGTAGATCAATTAACCATTGATATAACAACAATGGCACTAGAAATATGGATAAACCTTAATACGTATTATTTTATCAGTGAGTATGTCTCCACTAGAGAAAGGAAGGTACTATGCAACGAAAGTAATTATAGAGAAAATAAAGAGGAGAAGCAGAATACAACCATTTTCTATTCTCCCCCTTTCCTTTGATACTATATGACTTATTGCTCCCTCACACACAATCCCTCATGCGTGAATTGACCCTCCTCGTCCTAGCACTTTTTTGGTTGCCCATAATCATTGGATCACTTGACACCTGTCCATTCTTCTTAACAGAAATATTCTCCTCCGCATCCATTTCCTGAATTGCCCCTATGCTATTTTCACTTGTGACATTACCTCCCTCATTAAAAGCAACCTTGCCCTCTAGGTTGAAGTCAGGATAAGCTTGCTGCACATAGGTAAGGTCATCCCAAGTAGCCTGGTAAGCATCAATGCTTGCCCGCTGTACCAAAACTTTAGGAATATGTTGGTCTCCTTGGATAAGAACTATAGATTGTAAAATCTCTTGTGGCTACAATATAGGGCCAATGTTATTCATAATTAGAGGAAGTGGAATATAGGATTGTTGATGAATCTCGCAGCATGGTTTCAATTGTGACACATGAAAAACAGGGTGAATGCGAGCAGTTGAAGGCAACAACAACTTGTAAGCAATCGGACCAAAACATTAGATAATAGGAAAATGACCAAAGTATCGCATGCCCAATTTCTAATTTTTTTTGCAAAGCAACCAAATTTTGTCGATAAGGGTGGAGCTTAACCAACACTATATCTCCAACCTTGAATTCCACATGACGTCGTCGCTTATTTTCCTGTCGCTTCATATACTGTTGAGCCTTGTGCAAATTGCCCTTTAACTGAAGCAAAACAACATCATACTGCTGCAATAGTTGTTGCAATGTTGGAGGGTCCTGCGCATTTGTAACATACTTGTCAATCCTAGGAAGATCTCGACCATAAACTACCTTGAAAGGCATCATACCCGTACTGAGATGGTACAAAGTATTATACTAAAATTTAGGCCAAGGTAACATTTTCAGCCACAACTGGGGATTATCATAAGCAAAACAACGTAAATACATTTCCAAACAACGATTGACAGCTTCAAATTGACCATCAGATTGGGGATGGTATGCACTGCTCATAACCAATGAAGTACCACTCAACTTGAAAAGTTGTTTCCAAAATTGACTCATAAAAACTTTGTCTCGATTAGAGACAATAGACTTGGGAAATCCATGAAATTTCACCATGGTCTTCATGAACAAATCAGCCACTTGTGCACTAGTGTAATCTGCCTTTAAAGGAGCAAAATGAACATACTTAGAAAAGCAATCTACCACTACCATGATCATTGTCAAACCACTAGCATTAGGTAGTCCCATGATGAAATCCATCGTGATATCATCCCATATCTGTGTTGGAATTGGAAGAGGATGCAATAACCTTGAAGGAAGTGTATTGGAAGATTTAGCCTATTGACAAATGAGACAGTTTTTTAACAAAATTAGCTATGTCTTGATGCATACCCTGCCAGTGAAATTGGGCAGCAATCCTAGACACGGTTCTTGTAACCCTGAATGTCCGCCGAGTGGAGAAGAGTGGAATTCATGTAATATTTGCTTAACCAAGTCATGCTTCTTAGGAATAACCAGCCTACCATTCTGGTATAACAATTCATTATGTGTGGAATAATTGGGATGAGGAGGGGTGCCTTTGCGACATAACTCACTTATGCTATTTAACTTTGTGTTGTCTGCAATCGTAACACGCAAAACGAGCATAATTGCCATGTGTGGCTAAGACCATGCCATAAAAATGATCTGGATAAAGCATCTACAACCACATTGTCCTTCCTCGGTTTGTACTCGATTTTAAAGTCATAGCCTAACAACTTATGCAAGCAAGCCTGTTGTTCTGGTGTTTGTAAGGACTATTGTGTAAGACTCTTTAGACTCATCCAATTTGTCTTAGTGACGAACTTGTGACCCAAAAGGTAATGTTTGAGTTTCTCTATCACTTCAGTGATGACATATAGTTCCCGCATATAAGTTGACTGTTTCTAAAGTCTGGGAGTTAATTTCTTGGAAAAGAAAGCAACTGGATGACTGTTTTGACTAAGCACTGCCCCTACATCAGTTCCTGACACATTTGTTTCCAAAACAAAAGCCTTAGAAAAATCTGGAATAGTGAGAACTAGAGCTTGAGTTAAAGCAGATTTGAGTGTTTCAAAAACACCCATATCAACAACATCCCAATTAAAACTGTCTTTCTTGAGCAAATTTGTCAAAAGGGTTGCAATAGATGCATAACCTTTGATAAACTTCCTATAATAACTTGTCAGGCCCAGAAATCCCCGTAATTGCTTGAGGTTAGTAGGAAGAGGCCAAGCTAACACAGCTTGTACCTTGGAAGCTTCCACTACTACTCCTTGCCCAAAAACTATGTGTCCTAAGTATTCCACTTGAGTAAGAGCAAATGAACACTTAGATAACTTGGCAAACAATTTATGTTGTATGAGTAATTGCAAGACAACTTCTGAATGGTGTAAATGAGCAGACCAAGTTGGATTGTACACCAAGATATCATAAAAAAAAACAAAATAGATTTTCTCAACATCTTTTGAAAGACGTCATTCATCATACATTAGAATGTAGCTGGAGCGTTCGTTAATCCAAATGGAATGACAAGCCATTCATAATTCTCATGATGTGTTCTGAATGCTGTCTTAAATCAATCTTCCTCTTTTAACAAGATTTGATGATAGCCAGACTTGAGATCAAGCTTGGAAAAATACTGGGCTCCAAACAACTCATCAATTAACTCACCTACAATGGGAATGGGAAAACTATCTTTGATAGTTATGGCATTTAAAGCTCAATAATTTATACAAAATCTCCAAGTGCCATCTTTCTTCTTAACCAAAACAATTGGGGAAGAGAATGGGCTAGTACTCAACACTATAATTCCTTCTTGTAACATATCTCTAACCATCTTCTCAATTTGTTCTTTTTGACTATGGGGATATGTATAAGGTCTAACCTTAATAGGATCAACTCTTTTAATCAAAGGAATACTATGATTGTGTGATCTACTGAGAGGAAGACTAGTAGGAACGAAAAACACATTATGATAGGTACGCAAAAGAAGTGTTAATTCCGGTTCCAAGTGCTTAGGTAATTGCTAACACTGACACTATAATTCCTTCTTGTAACATATCTGTAACCATCTTCTCAATTTGTTCTTTTTGACTGTGCAGATATCTATAAGGTCTAACCTTAACAAGATCAACTCCTTTAATCAAAGGAATACAATGATCGTGTGATCTACTAGGAGGAAGACCAGTAAGAACAACAAACACATCATGATAGGTACGCAAAAGAAGTGTTAATTATGGTTCCAAGTTCACAGGTAATTACAAACAGCAATCAACACCACAATCTGGTTGCTGAAATTGCAGTGTAAATATTTCAGAGATGGCATGAGTTCTTTGCATCCTATGAAGATGATTGTATTGTGCTGGAGTTGGAAGTTTTGGTTTATCACCATGAAGGGTAATAAAATTCCCTTCCACAAAGAACTACAATTTCAAAGCACTGTAGTCTGAAATATGGGCGCCCAAAGTAGCTAACCAAGCTGCCCCTAAGGCCAAATCTACACCTGAGATCGGCAGTAAGTAAACGGGTAGTTTTAAGGAATGCCCTTGGATCTATACTTCAACATCCCAAACCCTACCTTCCACAGTCAAGGAGTGTCCATTACCTACTAAGACATGAAAGCCCATAGTTGGTTCAATGGTCAATTTCAAGCAATGTGCAAGGCATGGTCACAAGAAATTGTCCGAACTGCCACTGTCAAGTAGTACTTGAATCGTCACCCCATTGATAATACCATGAAATTGCATAGTACCAATGCTGAAAGCTCCTTTGAGAGCATTAAAAGAAAGATGAGGTTCTTATTCCAATGATTGCATCTGGTTGATATTGGCCTCATCAGGTGGGTTAGGTTCCAGTAGTAAGTCTTCCTCTCCCTCTAATTGTAACAATAAGTATTGTTTGTTGGGGCATCTATGTCGAGGTGAAAATTTCTTATCACGAGTGAAACACAATCCCTTCTCCCTTCTCAATTACATTTCTGTTGTAGACATTTTTTTAACATTGGCAAACTTAATTGATTGATAGTTGGGCTGGTTCATAGTGTTTGGCGTGGGTAACAAGGGTGGTAGGCTCGTGGATTTAGTTGTTTGGGCTAGGGATGAGGGTTGATATTTTGGGTAAGAGTGGGCTAAGGTGGTTTATTATTTAGGCAGGTATTTCTCTTTGAAAAGTTTAGCCAATGAAACAACACGTAACAAGGAGGTTGGAGTTTGAGTGATAACATCTCTTCGAATGTCACTCTTAAGGCCACTAAGGAAACAATCAAGTAAGGCATCTACAGTAATACCTTGAACACGATTAACCAAAGCTGTAAATTCGCGATAATAATCATGCACCAACCCCGTTTGCATCAGTTTAAAAAGGGTAGAACAAGGGCATTCATAAGGAGATGGACCAAATTCCAATTTCAGGGCCCGAGTGAAACCAACCCAAGATTGACATGGATTGTTCTTAGCCATCAATTGGAACCAAGGAGTCACATCTGCTTCCATATGAACTGCAACAATGGTGAGACATTGCGCCTCTAGAGTATTGTAAAACGAAAAACTATTCTACCTTAAAGATCCATTCCAACACGTTCGAACCATTGAAACGTGGAAAATCAAGTATGAAATTACGAACCTAAAATAGTTGCATCGGACTTGTGGCGGATGTTTGCGATGACGCCGCTACTACATGCAACGATGTAACTCCAGCTTCCAGACTCTCAAAACGAGTAGAATACTCCTTATGCCTAGAAACTCCAAAATTTGCATGACATCTGTGGAAAACTCCTTCAACCGGGTGTTTTCAACCATGCTTGAGAATGAGTCGAGAACGAGAGCATCAATGTAATGAAAATAGATAAATTAACCATTGAAATAATAACAATGACACCAGAAATATGGATAAACCTCGATACGTATTATTTTATCGGTGAGTATATCTCCACTAGAGAGAGGAAGGTACTATGCAATGCAAGTAATTATAGAGAAAATATAGAGGAGAAACAATATACAACCATTTTCTACTCTCCCCCTTTCCTTCGATACTATATGACTTATTGCTCCCTCACACATAATCCCTCATGCGTGAATTGACCCTCCTCGTCCTTGCACTTTTTCGGTTGCCCACAATCATTGGATCACTTGACACCTGTCCATTCTTCCTAACAGAAATATTCTCCTCCGTGTCTATTTCCTGAATTGCCCCTATGCTATTTCCACTTGTGACACATACTTTTGACTATATTGTTTGGACCCCTTGGTACACAATATCTCTAATTAGATCAACATTTGATATTTTGTAAGCTTCTTCCATTAAGACTCTTGGGCAGGTTCATAAATTGATATCATGGTCTCCTCTAACTGATGGCTACATCAAGATCAACTCAGATGGCAACTCAGTGGGAAATCCTGGATCATCTGGCTTTGGTGGCATTGTTAGTGACTCAATTGGACAATGACTTTTTGGCACTCTGGATATTATGGCTTTACAACAATTATGAATGTTGAATTGCAAGGAATTTACAGTGGCTTGACTTTAACTTGGAATGTATGTTATAGGAGAGTCATTTGTCAAAACATATTCTTTAGCATCTATCAAACTCTTCTTAGAACCTATTTCTATTTGACATCCTCATGATATACTCGAAAATTTTATTCGCTTGTTTATAGATAAAAAATGACAACTTTCTTTTCTACATATTTTAAGAAAGGGAAATCAGTGTGTGGATTGGATGGTAAAATATGGAGTCTCCAAGAATACATCTTTATTTATTTGGAATTCTTGTTGGTTTTTTGCAGTTAATGATGACAAACGTTATGCAAATTACTTTTATTAGGAGCTAGTGTTCGTGTGTTTCTTTTTAATTAAACACTAATTTTGAATGATTAAAAAAATGTTTAATTGTATTTTTTAATTAAACACTAATTTTGAAACAATAATAATGAAAAAAAGAAAATGAAATAGTAACAAGAATTAAAAATCTTTTAGGATAAATTAGACATTTTTGTTTAAGTCATTTTAAATGATCTTCTATTTAAACTTACCATCATATTTCATTTCTTTTTACGAAATTTATCTTAATTTTAAACTTTAACTGTTAACTACACATACTTTTTAAAGTTGATACAAATTTAGTAAATCTTTTAAATCATTTTTGTACTTCTAGTTTTTTTTTTATAATTACATCCTAATTATTTATGGATTTAATTACGAAACAAAATGCCCCCTTTATCTATTTATGGGTTTAGTTGCTAAATTCGTAACATTCATTTTAAACAAATATTTTGTTTGAAAATAAACCAGAAAAGTAGAGAATAGAAAAATTAAACAAATGTAAATTAATTATTTTATTTAAAGAGCACATTATGGGTTTTTTTTCTTTCACATTGATATTAATCTTTTTTCTATTCTCATCCAAGTACTATTCATTTTTATTTTCATTGTCGCATAGTTATTGAAAATGACATGTAAGTTTGTGATGCTCAAAGATATGGATGACACGATAAATGTTGAAGTCTATTCCGATCTGGTTGTTGTATTTGACCTCATTGTGTGTCCTAGGTCTTTGGCTACTGATGTAATTATAGAATTAGGACTCTGTAACTGATAGAACACCAGGAACAAAAACTACTGTAAGTGTTATTCAATTCCAGAAAGGTACTGAGCCAAAGCTCTTGCAAAAGAGACAACCAGAGCCCTTGGCTGCTTGCAGAAAACTCTTCTCTGTCAAACTGATTACCCAAGCATGCTTTTGTCAGACACTTCTCCCAATATTCCTGTTAATTTACTAACCAATTTGTCTAGTCAGCATAAGAAATTCCCCTCCATTCTTCCCTTTTGTTACCTTTTGGAATGAAACCCAAATCATAGGCCTCCTTATCCATTGTGCCTAAATCCAACAATTGGTCCAATTCCTGTTTAGGCCTGGAACTCAGTATGTTCTGAATGAGATGCATCGTAAGGAGAACGGAAGAAATAAGATTACACATTCAGCATGCCCACGAAGCTAAATTATCTAATCACGGAATCAAATGAATCCTTTTAGATAAAAGACACCCTAAAATTAATTACTAACAGAATGTGTTCATATTGGAGATGATATATTTAAAAAGACAAATTTTAAGTACAATTCCTTAAACATAATTGATGTTATTCCCTAATCAGAATTCTAGTTTTACTTTATTAATATGTGTAAATGTATATTATTAATATTTACATTAAAAGTAATATATTGCAGATAATTAGTGTAGATTGAGGTGCTAACCTAATTAGGATCTCTTTTCTACATTGTGATGTCTTAGCATATCTAATTTTTTTTTTTTAAATATTTACATTAAAAGTAAATGTATATTACTGAGATAAAACTTTAATTCTGATTAGATAACAATATTAACTGTACCTAAGTTTTGTCCTATTTAAAGTTGTAATCATTGTCATAACATCTTAATGAAAAAATAATTGCAATTAACCCAAACGTTTTGCAGATACTCAGGTAGCGCTATAGATAGCATTTCATACACATATTTAATGGCTAAAAACTGATTACAATATAAGCTTCAGTTGAGCTATAAAACAATGTATTTTATATCCTACTTTACTCCTAACATAATAACATATTTTGCATTTAAACAACAAATGATGCACTAGTAAACCGAGCATAAAATCGTTTATAAAAACATTCAACTATTAATACCATAGAGGATACTCACGCTGATAGCTTTCCATCAGACACTGTCATGAGTCGTTTTACTTTATCGGGTTGCAACTGCAGAAGGCACAGAATCATGAATAAATAGATACTTGAAAAAAATTCGTAAAGCATTGGAAAGCTCATGTCTTCAGACAATCACCTCTTTGTCAACGGCTAAGGCAGAAAATACAATGGAAGCATTCTCTTCAGATCCAAAATCTATTTCCATGTCACTGCAATTGTCATTCCATTTACAATAACACATTTACACATTTGTTAATACTAATTTCAAACACAAGGGAAACCTCAGAATTTCCGAATCAAGTTTTTCTCATAGCAGTGAATCTTTCAAATACAGGAAATTTGCACACAATTGATACACATTCACCAGATCAGATGATGAGTATAAAAAATGTTATTTATTTTACTAACAATACTTAACTGATTAATTCAAAAACTTGAGATTTTGATTGTATCTAATTTAACATACTGAGTTCCAGGCCTAAACAGGAATTGGACCAATTGTTGGATTTAGGCACAATGGATAAGGAGGCCTATGATTTGGGTTTCATTCCAAAAGGTAACAAAAGGGAAGAATGGAGGGGAATTTCTTATGCTGACTAGACAAATTGGTTAGTAAATTAACAGGAATATTGGGAGAAGTGTCTGACAAAAGCATGCTTGGGTAATCAGTTTGATCTCAATCTTTCTATCTATTTTATTTTCATCTCCATCTTCATGTTTATTTTATGTTCATATATTCCATTCTTTATGCGGCACACTATCACATAGATAAAACATATAATTTTTTCTTATTTGATTTGGCAAAGAGATTAATATATTCTTTGTTTTTCAATTTCTTTATTTTCAATCTTTTTATTTTTATTTTGTTTTTGTCTTCATCTCCATGTTTATCTTATGTTCACTTTTTGTTCATGTATTTCATTTTTTTATAGGGCACACAAAGACACACATAGGTTTGTGTTTGATGGTTTTAGCGTTTATTTTTTGCTTTATCACTAGATATAGTGTAAAAAATATACTTTTTTTTTATATTTGATTTGGTCAATGAATTTGATATATTTTTTGTTCTTCTCAACTTTTTTGATAGAGTTTAATAAATCTTTATTTTAAGGTTTCTATTTGGGGTGTTTTATAGATTGATTGGTTTAATAAGATTTTCTTCTAGATTTTTTCCCTCGTTAAAATACATATTTCAACATCTTGACTCACTCCAATAATCATCTAACTAAGTAAAATTTGGGATTATTAAAAAGTATTTTTAGTATTTTTTTAGTTATTTTTGTAACACCCAATTTTTTCATAAAATATAACATAAATATTTTATAATAATTTTGGTGTTTTTATTTTATTAATAGGGGTTGTTAAATATTTATTCAATTATTTAATATATTTTAGAGTATAATATATGGTATTTTATTGAAGAATATTATAATATTTTATTAAAAGGAAAAAGAATTTATAACTTGGTTAATATATTTTAACTAGAGGGTTAAATGGTGGTTAGGAATTTTTTAAAGAACAATTTTTTGATCAAACCCTCTTATGCCATTAATTCACATGTGTTTCAGAGCATGAAAAGCAAGAGTAGAAAGGAAATCACCCGGAGCTGTTCACCTATTGTTTATAGCATATCCAAGTATGGGGTGTGTGAAATCTTGCTCTAGGAGTGAGTTTGTATGTCTTGTAGTGAAATTGACTTTAATCTTGTGTTTGTTTGCTTATGTACGAGGGATTTTTCCTAATATTTCTATTTTGCTCCTTATTCTTCTTACTCATAATTGATGACATGAATTGTTTGAATGTATGATTAATTTTATGTTTTGGAAGGTAATTGTATGATTTGAGGTCCTTGTGGGTTCCCATGGAAAATTCTAAGGGAACTTGATGTGATTTTGAGTAAAGATATTGGTTGTATGTGTAAATTGGGTGATATTGAATGTTTAATTATTGCTGTAGAATAGGGATGGCAAACATACCCGTACCCGCGGGTAATACCCGAACCCGTCCCGACTTTGTCGGGGAATACCCGGTTTGATTGGGTACGGGTACAGGTATGGGTAAAACCCGATATATTAAATCGGGTACGAGTACGGGTACGGGTATGTACTTACCCGCCCCGTACCCATACCCGTACCCGTTCCCGTTCTTATATTTAATTTAATACTCACTTTCAATTTAATTATATTAAAAAAATTTAATATTTTTTTATGTATGATTATTTATTATAATATAAGATAAAGAAATAATTTAATTATAATTATAATATAATAAAAAAGATAATTTAAAAATATCATTTTTTTACAAAAAATAAAAAAATTGACGGGTACGGGTACGGGTA